AAAAAGTAACAAAAAAAGATATTATGAGCTATCAACCTTTATTGACGATTCCTTTCTGATATTTCCCCCATTTATATCATATTTGATGTTATCAATACCCAAAAAAATTGCATCGAAATTTGACAGGAAATGATTGTCTTCTTCCTAATAAGTATTGACTATGAGTTGGATATTCGTATAGCATTTTCTACTTCTAAAAATTAAATGTTTTTGAATAATTTCCCGGAATTCAATCATTTATTGTATTTCAAAAATTGTATTCTAAAAAAATCTTGGATAGTAAAAAATTTCAATCATTATAAGTTTCAATATTTTCCGTACTAATATTTTAAATGTTGAAGCCATCGTGTTTTGTTGTTCAATTCCCAGTAGCACTTCCAGTTCAAGCATTTTCAAGAGTTCATAAATTCTAACTCATAATTCTCCCAAAGTTCATTTAATTATTAAAGCACACTAAGTGAAAACACTAGAAATTAAAACTTTAATTTGCTGTTGCCTTCCGCAAAAACTCCAGAAATCCCAGAAACTCTGATTTGGAAGTTATCAGATCTGTTTCTTTTCCAGTTATTTCTCGCTGTGAGATGCTTCTGCTAAGAGTTGCTGCAATAATTCGGCATTTTAAACTGCATGACAATATTATTTCTGTGTTTCGTTTCATTTGATGTCACTTTCAAATTTCAATCAACTTTTCAACCGAGAGTGATAATTCATTCTCTATTCTCTTCCAGCTATTACTTCCGATCGTGAATAAAGCAATCTTCTTTGACGATGCAGAAATGAACTGAAAGCTGTCCTTACACATTTTGACCATTTTACTATCCGTCATTGGATGAAAAAGTTAAAGTAAGTTAAAGTACACGTGGTCATCTATCTCAATATTACCTCTTTTCGAGGTCAGTTCAGTTACCTTCTTTCGAAATTGTTATCGATTTTGGGATATTAAAATTAGCCAGCAGTATTTTTTAGTAGAAAGATGGAAAAGAAATAACTATCGAACGAAAAAAAAAGCTTATATGAAAGTGAGAAAATTGAGAAAAAAGACTATTTATTATCAGTATTATATCAATTGTAGGTTTAAATTTTAATCATCTTAATCTACTACGTGATGATATCTCTCATTCGCATTATCATTATTATTGGCCTTATCAGTTAAAAGAAAAACATAGATAATGCCAGTTGTAAAAAGAATATAATGAAAGTAGTTGTCATTTGTTCTTTCAATTTATGCTTGTATTCATCAAAAAATAGAAATGGAGTTTAAACGTTTGAGGTTATGAAATGTCCAATTGGCAAATTTTGTTTCGATCATTTTTTTCTGAATTTATTTTTTTACCCAAAAAAAAAAAAATGTATGCATCGAACAGGAATGAATAAATTGCACTTAATTCATCATTCAATTTGTTCTCGCTAAGTACTGACATAAAAGTATTGTTTTTTTTTGAAACGAATTTTCAAATTACACTTAATTTTAAAATGAACAAATGCAATTCAATATGAAGTAATAAATAATTTGTATGGTAATCTTCAAATCTGAAAGAAAGCCCGACAATGC